ATGTGGCTGTTATTGTACAGTATGCGGTGTCTTGGTTTCCTTGGCTAATTTGTTGAGTCGTGTCAGCTGACCTTTAATTGTTCTTTAGGCTTTTGGCAGTGTCAAAGGGGTTGTGTAGTGTGGACTTGAGGGTCATGGGGACAGCATTTTAGTGCTTTATTGTTTTGTATTGTTTATCAATGCCTACCGTTGGTAGATAAGACAGTTATATCACTTTCACGGGAAGGCCAATAACATGACGAGGATTTTCTTAATTAGAACACCATCTTTTCAGAGGTCACAGACAATAGCCCCACCTAGTGGAAATGTCACGAGCCGCTGCTGATTATAACGAGTGGACAATATCTTCTTGGTTCTTTCGGTAAAGTCACGTAGAATGGAAATAATAAAATAATAAAAATAAAACATAAAATAATTCTCACGACGTTTCGGCCACAACACAAGCAGCCGTCCTCAGGTGAAGAACAGGTCTGTCGGAAAGACAGCGTCTGAATGAACACCACCAAGCTTGGCAGCGTATATTTAAGCTGGGTTTAGAGGAGGAAGGGCGCCTTGACAAAGGAAGTTGCATATCAACAGAGGAATTTAGCATATTTATGCTAAATTTTAAAATGTAGCATATTTATGGAAAAACTGTTCTATTTCTGATGGTCTGAAATCCGTTTTAGCTAAAGGGCTAAACTTTGCAGTCACACCTAGACACATACCAGTTAATGATAACTGCCCAAGTAGATGTGCCATTTTCTGTACTTTTTAGGCATAAGCAATTACGAAATAACACTTACTACACAGGAACAAAAATTGTGTTACATATTGTTTGAGACCCATTCAGGGTGGTGAAAAGGGCGCCCATGGCTGTGATGACGATGTCACAACGCTAGGTTGCATTGTGCAAATGTAGCATCATCAGCTCCATCGTTCCACCTATCACCATGTGCTCCTGTCTGGCCTTTATAGTTTTTAAAACAAGTTTAAAATATGTTAAATGATCAAAACAGTAGCTCCCAACATTTTTCTTGTTGTGAAACGCTTATCATTCCTATTACGTGTATACCTCTACTCGCAAATATATAGTTTGTGTTTAAATTCACGCAATTAATATGTAGTGAACATTGACTAACGTTTCATCCACAAAAATACATCCTCTGTGTTTTCTGGTGGGACTGGTGCTATTAATATGCACCTACAGAATAAAGTTTCGTACAGCTCACAATGGAGTGATATGGCAAGCCACAGGCCAGGTTCCTTTTTTACGGTTCTAAGCGCTGCAATGTTGTGTCTTATATATAGTTTTTCTTGGGTTAGATCGTGTAAATATATAAATGTGTCATTAAACCCGCCACCACCCGACACAGCCAATTAGTAATGTTTGTCACGTAAACAGAACATGGCAATTCGTTACTAGTAACGCACACCAGTTCCTTAAATAGAGGGGAAGATGTGATGACGTCTCTTGTGAGCCCTTCACGTGCGAATGAATGCATCTAAATTGCAATGGGTATCTATTGCCAGTTGGGTTATTCATATATCAATATACGTTATGCATGCACATTATGCATGCACACTGTCCTTGTACATCCTGTCGTTTGCGTGCAATAAAATAGCAGTACCTGTTATTGTCTGCGTACAGGTAATCCCCATTGATGTATGATGACCTATGTAGGCATGCATTTAAACATTCATTATTTGATTGACTTCCAAGCAGCACTAAACCTGTAACTATCCGAACGGTTAAAAAAAATTTCTCTCAATTTCGATAGATTCTCTAATTAGCCTTGGCCAGTAGTAACTAGTTTTGCACAGAACTTCAAATCAAAATCAATTTAGTGTCCTTGTTGGCACATGTGTTCTGCTACTGCCGACAGTTGCATTTAGGAGTATTTAATATTTATTTGGTGTTCTTTTAGTCTTGTGCTGATCATTCGTCCTGTCTGCCCAACATTACATTTGCCACAAGTGCAATTAATCCAGTACACACCTTCTGATAATTGGTTCTTTACCCTTCTATCTGGCAACAAAACTGACACCTTTTTACAAGGAGTCATGTTTGCATAGACCGCAATACCTGCAGTCATGAATACAAACAAAAGACATAACTCTGATAATGTGCACTGTCCTTGAAGTTGATTGGTCCACACCCGAGACAGCTTTCCTTCGAGCCTAGTCTCACATGGGTTGGACCAGAAGACGCCAAAAGGCGCACAACTCAAAGACAATGCACCATCAGAGTATGAGAGCTCGGGGCAAACATCTACACTGTGTAGATGTGTAGATGTTTGCCCCGAGCTCTCATACTCTGATGGTGCATTGTCTTTGAGTTGTGCGCCTTTTGGCGTCTTCTGGTCCAACCCATGTGAGACTAGGCTCGAAGGAAAGCTGTCTCGGGTGTGGACCAATCAACTTCAAGGACAGTGCACATTATCAGAGTTATGTCTTTTGTTTGTATTCATGACTGCAGGTATTGCGGTCTATGCAAACATGACTCCTTGTAAAAAGGTGTCAGTTTTGTTGCCAGATAGAAGGGTAAAGAACCAATTATCATATTTTGACTGGCAAATGAGGTCCCCATAGTACACACCTTCTGTTGATAGCTTCAGTAATACATCTTTAGTACCAGATATTCTTTTCTATATTTTATGTACTGTGCCAAATCTGACTTGGATGTTTTATTTTTTTCCAAAAATCTGGCTAGTTTATCAGTTACTCCCGCAATGTATGGTATTTTAATAGTTTTAAGTACTTGGTCAGTTTAAACTCTCGTGTTATTTTATTTTGTTTTGGCATTCAGTGCCCTGTTGTTTTGCGCATCATTGTAACCGTTCAATTGCAGCACTGCTTTAACATGTTTAATTTCACTTCTCAGACTATCACCATCTGACACGTTCTTAGCCCGATGTACGAGCATCTTGATGAGAGAAGATGTCTGTCCTGCGTAATGGTGAGACTGTGCATTCAGATAGGCGTCAGTGTGCATTTTATTTCAGTAAATGATGTGTGTTATTTTACCATTTTGGCCACGCCCGAGAAAAATATCCAGAAATAGATGATCTCGCGAAAGCCTACGTGTTAAAATGTTGTATCTTGTGTAGGCCCTAGAGATTTCACACGTCCCCCCAGGAATACACATACTATGGGGTGCGAACCACCCATTTATAGCAACACCTGACTGAATTTGTATCCATGACACCACCTACCCAAAGAATACCAAATTAGAAGATGTATAGTGTCAGAGTGACATCTGGCTTCACATTCTCAATTTTGTATGCTCTAAATATAAGTTTAAAGAGGAAACCTACCTTCACCGTTAACAAGTATGCTGGAACTTCCATTTGCTTTAAGATATGCATGTGTTTTTTCTCTGTAAAATAAAATTGAGAATTACATGTAAAGGTTTTGCGACAAGGAAAAGTTACCAGTCATTAACTATCCTTTATCCACTTCTGTATGCATTTCATTTATGTTAAAATAAATAAATTAACATGCAGTAAACTTTATAAAGAATGCAAAACTCCTTGTGCATTTCTGGAGACCCCTGGGGCTTAATTCTGGTATTACTTCTCGCCAACCTTTACATCAGACTCCACTGCACCTTCATAACACATCTTGGTCTCCAATATCACTTCTACGTGGATGACATCAACCTTTTACTCACTATCACACCAGGATCCACTGACTACAACCTAGAAAGTACATCAGTACTAAACACTATCAAAACATGGCTCACAAATAACTTTTTAAAACTAATCATACAAAAACGGAGCTCCTCATAACTAGCGCTAAACAACAAAGTAAATGTCTATATTGCAGACCTCTTGCCGATACAACCAACCAACAGAGTATACAGCCTGGGCATCACATTATACATCAGCCTAGATTTCTGAGAACATATCTCAAAAAAAACATGCACTACCATCTACGCAACATAGCTATGAAGAGCAGACCATGCCTCATGAACAGATTCATAATCTCTCGGTTAGATTATTGCAGCTCACTACTTTTTGGCATACCTCAAACACTTACAACCTCTTCAACCCATCCGCAGAATAGTACTCTTTGGTTCTTTCGGTAAAGTCACGTAGGTATAAAATTATAAGATTATTAAATTTTATACCTACATGACTTTACCGAAAGAACCAAAGAGTATGGATTCCTGCAGTCACGAAAGCTTCAAATAAAGATCCAAAATTATGTCGCTCGATTAATTGTTAACCTCCAGAAAACTCCCACATCACACAAACTCAAAAAAGGTACACTGATTACCAATCAAATACATAATATACTTCAACATCCTATTAAACATAAGTACATTTATAAATGCGTAAATCTAATAACCTAGGTTATCACGAGTGCAAAATACACAACCAAGTTCCACCTTACACCAGAAACATACAGATCAAGCAAAACAACCCATACACTACTGAGTTTTAATGTGATGGAGCTTTGAGTGGCAGATTTGCGCCAGAACGGCGGCACATATGTAAACAAACATTTTGTTTTACTTTAATTGATTTGTAGTATGCTTAGATTTTTTTAAAGCAAGCAAGGCATTTCAGTAATCTAACCATGAAAAAATAAAGCATTTCAGCATCAGGTTGTGACCGCGTTGGTCTAAGGGGAGCTATGTTGCGTAAGTGGAAAACGAGATTTTTGTAATGTCACATATTTGGGCCTCAAATGTCGAATTGAGTTATATAATAACACCCAGGTGTGACCTCAGAGGAAAACCATTTAATTGATGCACTTGATGTAGAGCCCAATAACATAATGTCTGACTTATTACAATTGAATTAACAAAACATATGTAAATTATCACATCGATCCAGGATTTACGAATCACTGGGTCTGAAACGTGGCACGGTTAATGGCCTCTCATGTACAACTCTGAATAAGGACCACTTCGTGAAACATCAGCCAGCTTGTGCGATACTGCCAATATACTTATTCTTTTATTTTTCCCTAAATTGCTTTAAAAAATATATCTCAATGAGCTAAGCACTTGCCTTGTGAAGAGTTCTTCATGCTCTTTGCTCAAGCTGTAGACAGTGTTGTTGGAGAAGAACCACTGCAGGGAGGTACAGGGTACATGCTGTGGCTCGTAACAAAGCCAGGGCTCACCAAGTACCGGTTCTGTGAGGTTACACAGCTTACGGCCTTTGGTCAGTAACCGTGCCCCACACTCCATCGTCTCCTGGCTGGCCTTATTCACCCCAAAAATTCCCCAAAATTGAATCTTTACAGGAAAGGCCTCACGCACCACCTCAAGCGCAGCTACTGCCTCGCTCGAGTGTACAAACAGCACATCAACGTTTGTCACTCCAGGCCAGCGTAGGACAAACGAGAGCGTGTAGGTGCCATTGGAATGATCTTCCAGAACGCCTATCGCGGATGACATCCTCTTTTCACTGAATACACGGCCGATGAGGAAGTCTCCACCGTGGCCCTTCGCTCTGCCCCTGTAGTCTTTTGTTTGGACATGCACTGTTAAGACATCGCCCACGTGGTATTCACGATTAGGGTCAAGGATTTTGAAGGAGCTGCCTTTGTGAGAGGTGGTGCCATCGAGGTCACTGAGCGTTGACTCAAGGGTGAGCCGGTCGTGGCATGGCACCGTCACATCAGGGTAGGTGCCCAGCTGCTTGGGGTCATTGGCGAAGCGTGAGAGGTCCTCCAGGGGGAGAGGTGAGCACATGTCATTCTTGTCACCCATGTCATGCTTGACACTCAGTTCACCACCTATAATCACCAGGGAGATGTCCTGCAACAGGGTCCATATCCACAGAGATATTTGAAATTATAGTATTTGAATTATAATTACATGAAAATAAATAATGCAGTACCTCTTGCATATAACTTGGTAGAAGCAGGAAATGCCTTCTTTCAAAGCCTATAACAAAACCATACAAATTGTATATGTATAGCATCTACATTTCAGCATATCTCATGATACTGCACAGAAAAAGTTTGCATGTTTAATGTTGTAGTCAAAGTCGTCGTTAAATAGGAAGAAAAAAGGGAAGGTCTTGGTTCTCGACATCAATTGCAGCAAGGAGTTGACAGCATGGATGACTGGGGGGAGTTATTTACAGCAATAAATCATGTTTTTTCTAAAACTACTCACTACTAACCCTGGTACCTCTACTTTCATACCAGTAATTGAATATGATTACGTGAATAGGTCAGTGCAAATCACAGCATAACACAGTCTCTGCACTTCATTCAGCTCTACACTTTATTTTTCGATTTAAAGCTTTCGTGACTGCAGGGATTCATCTTCTTGGTTCTTTCGGTAAAGTCACGTAGAAGGGAAGTAATAAAATAATAAAAATAAAACATAATAAAATAAAATAATTCTCACGACGTTTCGGCTACAACGCAAGCAGCCGTCTTCAGGTGAAGAATGAGACACTACCAAACTAGGAGCTTATATATAAGCTGCGTTGGAGGTGGAAGAGCGCCTTAACAAAAAGAATGTGCATATGAAGAGGAATTTAGCATATTCATGGTAAATGCATAGGCGTTGGGCGGGGGGGTTTCAAAGTCATATTATGCCCATGCATTATGCAGGATCAGCAGCACCAAGGGGGGGGTGCAGGGATTAGCAGTAACAAAGGAAAGGAATGTTAATGATATGTAGCTGCAGTTACTCAACAACCACGTAGAAAACTAAAGTATAAACTACATAAAAAACTAAAGTATAAACTGCATAGCACCATCAGTATACTTACTATACTATACAATAAGCTGAGTTAATAACAGCAAGTAATACATTACAATTCTACGTCGTAAAAATTCTATAATATGCTTCCATCTAAACTTTATTCTCTTACATCACACGAGCATATACCGTACTGCCATAGATAAACCCAACATTAAATTATATACTGTATTGCTGTAAACCAACCTATACCTTATACATTTTAATATAATACTATGTATTATTCTACACACCCTAATGTGTATCGAAATGGTTTTTTACGTCCTTCCAATGATTGCTAAGCCAGAATCCATCTTCTCGGTTAAAATTGTCTCTGTGTTTGTATATGTGGATCGCCTCATGAACGAATCTCTCATGATAGCCAGATGGCTTGCAGAGAACCTCTGTCTTGGAGAAGTCAATATCATGTGAGCCCACTGAGTTGTAACAGTGATCTGCCACGGCTAAGGTGTTTGTCCTACCGTGTTTCAGGTCAGCTTTATGTTCACGGATGCGGCCCGAGACATGTCGTTTGGTTTCCCCAATGTAACTGCTACCACAGAGGCAACTTAGTTTGTAGACGCCAGGGTACTGTATGTCTGGAACCACATCTTTTACAGACGGTACCAGATCACGGATTTTATGTACTGTGTTGAATCGGACCTGGATCTTGTGTTTAATCAAGATTTTGGAGATCTTTTTTGTGACCCCAGCAATGTAGGGTAAGGTGATGGTCTTGAAAGGCTCCTCAACAGGATCCTTCTTGATGGTTGGAGTGATGGCTTTGCGGATTGTGTAGTCGGAGTAACCATTAACCTTAAGAGCTTGGCGTACGTGTTTGAGTTCACTGGCAATGTGTTCATGGTCGGAGAAGCATTGGGCTCTATGATATAGAGTCTTGATAATTGATTCTTTACCCTTCTATCTGGCAACAAAACTGACACATTTTTGCAAGGAGTCATGTTTGCATAGACCGCAATACCTGCAGTCATAAATACAAACAAAAGACATAACTCTGATAATGTGCACTGTCCTTGAAGTTGATTGGTCCACACCCGAGACAGCTTTCCTTCGAGCCTAGTCTCATATGGGTTGGACCAGATGACGCCAGAAGGCGCCTTTTGGCGTCATCTGGTCCAACCCATATGAGACTAGGCTCGAAGGAAAGCTGTCTCGGGTGTGGACCAATCAACTTCAAGGACAGTGCACATTATCAGAGTTATGTCTTTTGTTTGTATTTATGACTGCAGGTATTGCGGTCTATGCAAACATGACTCCTTGCAAAAAGGTGTCAGTTTTGTTGCCAGATAGAAGGGTAAAGAACCAATTATCATATTTTTACTGGCAAATGAGGTCCCCATAATATAGAGTCTGGATGAGGGAATTCTTCTGGGATGGATGGTGGTGGGAATCCGGTTTTAGATAAGCATCCGTATGGGTGGCTTTCCTGTAGACAGAGTGGCTCATTGAACCATCAGGTCTCCTTTTGATTAGGACATCCAAAAAGGGTAGCTTGCCATCTTTTTCGACTTCCATGGTGAATCTGATGGCTGGGTGTATGGAGTTGATGTGGTCGAGAAATTGGTCTAGAGTAACACGGCCATGTGGCCAGATGACAAAAGTGTCGTCTACGTACCTCTTCCATAAGGTCGGGCGTAGAGTGGCAGTCTAGACCAATTTCTCGACCACATCAACTCCATACACCCAGCCATCAGATTCACCATGGAAGTCGAAAAAGATGGCAAGCTACCCTTTTTGGATGTCCTAATTAAAAGGAGACCTGATGGTTCAATGAGCCACTCTGTCTACAGGAAAGCCACCCATACGGATGCTTATCTAAAACCGGATTCCCACCACCATCCATCCCAGAAGAATTCCCTCATCAAGACTCTATATCATAGAGCCCAATGCATCTCCGACCATGAACACATTGCCAGTGAACTCAAACACGTACGCCAAGCTCTTAAGGTTAATGGTTACTCCGACTACACAATCCGCAAAGCCATCACTCCAACCATCAAGAAGGATCCTGTTGAGGAGCCTTTCAAGACCATCACCTTACCCTACATTGCTGGGGTCACAAAAAAGATCTCCAAAATCCTGATTAAACACAAGATCCAGGTCCGATTCAACACAGTACATAAAATCCGTGATCTGGTACCGTCTGTAAAAGATGTGGTTCCAGACATACAGTACCCTGGCGTCTACAAACTAAGTTGCCTCTGTGGTAGCAGTTACATTGGGGAAACCAAACGACATGTCTCGGACCGCATCCGTGAACATAAAGCTGACCTGAAACACGGTAGGACAAACACCTCAGCCGTGGCAGATCACTGTTACAACTCAGTGGGCTCACATGATATTGACTTCTCCAAGACAGAGGTTCTCTGCAAGCCATCTGGCTATCATGAGAGATTCGTTCATGAGGCGATCCACATATACAAACACAGAGACAATTTTAACCGAGAAGATGGATTCTGGCTTAGCAATCATTGGAAGGACGTAATAAACCATTTCGATACACATTAGGGTGTGTAGAATAATACATAGTATTATATTAAAATGTATAAGGTATAGGTTGGTTTACAGCAATACAGTATATAATTTAATGTTGGGTTTATCTATGGCAGTATATAGTACGGTATATGCTCGTGTGATGTAAGAGAATAAAGTTTAGATGGAAGCATATTATAGAATTTTTACGACGTAGAATTGTAATGTATTACTTGCTGTTAGTAACTCAGCTTATTGTATAGTATAGTAAGTATACTGATGGTGCTTTGCAGTTTATACTTTAGTTTTTTACGTAGTTTATACTTTAGTTTTCTACGTGGTTGTTGAGTAACTGCAGCTACATATCATTAACATTCCTTTCCTTTGTTACTGCTAATCCCTGCACCCCCCCTTGGTGCTGCTGATCCTGCATAATGCCTACGCATTTTCCATGAATATGCTAAATTCCTCTTCATATGCACATTCTTTTTGTTAAGGCGCTCTTCCACCTCCAACGCAGCTTATATATAAGCTCCTAGTTTGGTAGTGTCTCATTCTTCACCTGAAGACGGCTGCTTGCGTTGTAGCTGAAACGTCGTGAGAATTATTTTATTTTATTATGTTTTATTTGTATTATTTTATTACTTCCCTTCTACGTGACTTTACCGAAAGAACCAAGAAGATCTACACTTTATTTCAAACAAGAACTATTCTGCACATTGCATATAATTCCCCAAAATTGAATCTTGACAGGCTTACGCCAAGGGTTTATTAGGGGCTTACGCCAATAACGGGCCAAGGGATAATATACTCATCCCCAGGGGTAGGGGTCCTAGGCTCCCAAGCACAACTAGCTTCCCAGGCTCTTCCCTCTGCGCCGGCCGAGGGATCATCCAACATCAGCCGACCCACTCCCATTGCTCGTGCTGGTTCCCTTCTAGGCTCCGTCAGCCCTACCCCTGGGTCTAACTTCCACACTTCACGTTCTCGGGCTCCTGCGACGACCCCGCTCACTTAAGTACCCCCGGGAGGTATGACGTCATCGCCCCGCCCCTGTGCATGACGTCACTTTCCGTGATGTCATCACACCGGAAAATCCTCATGATGACGTCACATCCGGTTACGTCATCACACTGGAAGGTGAGCGTGACATGATGTCCCCCGACTACTCCTCTGCAAATGTATAAAATAAACAGTATCGTGTGAATGTGGTGTAGCAAAGAGTAACACATACAGTTGTAGTAGCAACAACGGTATATTTTTTTAAAAATTACTTTAGTATGTTGCACAATGCAAACACTACAATGCAGTAGTTCTATCATGTGCTGTCAACAAGCATGTTTATTTATGGGCATATGGTTGTTGCAACATATAGGGTGCAACGTATAGGTACTGGGTGGAACGTAAGACCAATTTTCCACCACATGAAGAGTGTTTAATTTTGATACCATCCAAATGTAACCCGCGATTATCAATTATGCATGCAAATGCTGATTTGTACAATTAGTTATCTATCAACCTGGCCCCTTAATAAGGTAACAGGTTCTATAAATCACACGTTCAACATGGAAATGACCCAGGTAAATGGTTCAGTGATGTTTAACATCAAGGAGAATACTTATCTCTTTGGAACCTATTGTGAGTCAAACTATAATTTCAACCCAGAAAGAAGAACAATCCAATCACCTCATGTGATGTATACTGCCCCTGACTAAAATGTTAAATATAAATTCCAGTTATGGGATTCCCATGGCTTACACAGCATTCCCTTCATATTCCATGGACCTCCGTGAGATCTGGCTCATATCCTGTGGAAATTTCACGCAAATTGTAAGTCAATGATTTCCCTTCATGCGTTTTTCATCTGTAAAACAGTGTAGAGC